CCCCCATCTGATGCAGAAGGCTGCCTTGTTATGCAGGTCGCACTGTGGGGACCTCTAACCCTGCCCCCTTTCCCGTACCCACTGCCCCCGTTTTTTCCCTCGCGTCGGATATTCCACTCCCCCCCTCATCTTAGTGCCGCTGTCGCTGCGGCTTTAGTTGATCCCAGCGGCGCCTTTCCCTCCCAACACTTCTTTGGCTCTCCCCACGGCCACTTCAATCGTCACGTCTTCGTTTCTATGCTTAGAACCCAACTCGTTTGTTTGCATTTCTTTGCCAATCACCCTTCAAGTTGCCAATCACACTTTAACTATCATCGCTATTCTCTCCTAATCATTTGTCCTCTTCAGAAGAAGCCTTTGCTGAGATAAGTTACTACCATTTACAGTTTAATGTCTCCGCCATTCTCGCCATAACAATCATTGCTTCTGAATCGTTATGGATTTAAATAGAAAATCGTCTACAGCTTAGGTGTTTCAGGGCATCAGCTGATGACTGTGCAATGCCTCCGAACGGGGGGTCCTATTGTTTAAGTCCCGACGTGGCAGGATGTTCGACTCTAGCTACATTGCTAGATTGCTAGGTTGAATGCAGCCGGGAGAATCGAGGAGAATTCGAGCGCCTGGCTGTGTGATGAGCAGTTTCAGTGCTTTCTCAGATCAATTCTTGGCGAATGCCGGAGCAGAACCTTAACACGGACCAAGAACGGCACGTGATCCTTCCCTTCTTCTTCCTTCTTCTATCCTCATCCCTTACACACTACCACACATGACGGTAAATGGGGCTTAGAGATTGTCTCGGCTGGGGCGGTGCCACGCTGGTGGGAGATACCTAGTTGGGAAAACCCTGTAAATCGACATATAGGTCCCGGTAAAAAAAACATGCACTACAATTGCGGAATTAATGGCTATATCATTTGACTTGTCAAATGCTTCCCCCCTTGTCAAACCCGAAATAATAACTAAATCTTTTCAGTTCCTTCTAACTGTAACAACCGGTACCACCATACGATTAGTAAACATGGGAAATATTACCACGCACCCAACCGTTCACGTTTTTCGCCTCCGCGGAAAAAGCGTCGCTTTCCTCTTATTTTTCTCTCCTGTTGCGGGAGGAAGTGTGCGCAACTTGGCCAAGCAAGAAACGAAGCGCCTTCGAAGGCGTCCTCAAGAGGACGGGTGGCGCCGTCGCAAGAAAGGAACGGGGAGGATAAGGGCGATTCCCGAAAACATGAAAGGACGAAAATCGGAGAGGGTATCGCGCACCTAAGCCGCGAGGCTTCCCAAACCCCACGCAGCAAAACAACGCCCACGCGACGCAGCTGCGCCCGGAGGCAGACGAGAATAAAGTACCGAGTCTCGACCCGCTCTATTTCTGTGTGCAGTGCGAGCTCATTCATATTTATGACTACTGCAATAAGGGGAATTTAGCATTATAAAACATAATTCAGGGCAATTTTTAAAGCATTTCTGCTGTGTGTAAGAGGCAGTCGTAGTTCTTAAAGAATAATTGTCATGTTAGTAATTACTGCGTAGGGATTGTAATGAAATTGGATTTTTTTAATCTAAATTATTCGAAATAAACAAGTTGTTTAGTCTAATGTTCCACTTTTCATTTTTAGTTTTTTACAATAAAAACGGTTTAATGTGTACATAATATTTACTGTAATCAGTTGTTATTTATATTATTTGACTCCTGTGCAAATCGACGAAATAAGAAGCAATGTTTTGTGCATCTTTAAATGTATCGACGCATTTTTGAAGAAGCCGAAAAAGAATTACAAGAAGCAAAAGAAAAAAGAACAAGAAATTAGACAATTGGAAACAAAAAATTAGAAATTTGTTGATAAAATTTCACTGAGTTCAAGAAAGGTGTTTAAAAAGGAGAAAAAACATCCAAGCACATTCAGTGAAGTACTTTAAATATAAGACAATTCAGATTTCCTTTTATTTTACAAAAAGTATTTATTTTAACACAGCAAAAACTAGGTTACCTGAAAATAAAAATGAAATCGCCTTTAAACGAAACGTTATTTAATTCAATTATGAATTGTATAATAATTTCGTATTTCTCACGTAATACGCGAGGTAGAAAATGAACAAAATGCGAAAGCAGGATTGTTGCTACACGTCGCTCAACGCACGCGCACTCGGCGAGTCCATTCAGACGCACGCAGCGGCCGCTTTTTGGAGCGCCCCTCGGGAACGCGCGTAGCGATGTTCTCGCACGCGTCCCTGCCGACGGCGTCTCAAAGCGGCGGCGCTCACAAACCTCCGAACATATTGTAACGTCATAACATGAATAACCAACCCCACGTCGAGGGTTGTCTCATTCGAGCATCCCTCGCGTACTTTCTTGCAGATAAGAGAGCAAGCGAGGGCCGCCCAGCGCGCAAAGCAAAGAAGGAAAGGCCGCTGGCAAGCAAAGAAGAAATTGGGGGTTGGGAAGCCGGAGAGCGGAGAAATAAAACAGGTGCTGTGCAGCGCGGCGCGGCCCCACTCACCACTCGCGCCCTGTCTGAAGTTCTGCTGACACCGAACCCTTTGCAGAGGGAATGGCGATGTAAGAGCGAGGGGAAGATGGAGCGGGTCGTCTCATGGCAGTGACAGCGGCATTCATCACGGCGTAAGGTTGAATATAACGCTTGTTACTTTGGTATAATGCGAGTGGAGAGTGGCGGTGATAAAAGATTGCGACAGACGTTGAGGGCTGCTCGTAGCACACGTTGTGTAGGAGATTTAGTTCTTCCCAAAGAATAATGTTGCAACACTGTCTTCATGAGCGACTTCCACTGAAATTCAATTCAGAGTGACAATGACGCATTGCACTTTGGGTTAGTTCACCACAATTTTTGATGACCTATGTCACGAATAATTTGTGCCAAGAGTTTCTAATTAGAACCCTACAAATACCTTAAAATACGAATAATATAATATAAATTAAGAGCTAATCAATCCACAACCATTCAAATTTTTAATATTTTAATACAACAATACTGAAAGTCATCTTCCGAGAACCTTTTTCCACCATCAGTGAGTCTATAACAATGCAAATGAGATATAAATATAAAAAATAAATATAAGAACTACATTTGTATGAAACATTCTTACATTCAAGAGAGGAAAATAACTTAAAAAATTACTTACTACCCAAGCAGATGGATCACACTTTACACACACACACACACACACACAAAAGAAGTGGGAAATGAGCTGGAAACAGAAGGCGAAGGTGACTCTTATAGAATGGGAGCAAAATTAAGCTTAAATTGAGAAGTAGAGAGGGAAGTGGTACAGTGTGGACCCGTCGTCCTCCGTCATTGTTGGTTGATTATTTGTTTGTTTGTTAGCGATTCCGGGAGTGTCAACGGTCAAAGCCATTAGTCCAGTAAGCGTAGTGTATGTTTTCCTCTGGAGGTGGCGGTGATCGGCAGGCTGGCGAGATCCGGCGCCGACCAAACATCGGCCAGCTGGGTTTTCTCCCTGACCAGATATCTCCCATAAGCGGGGCACCGCCCCTACCGGGACATTCTCTAAGCTCCCGACTGGTAGTGTAGTACGTCTAAATGTGTGTAAGTACGGATTGAGGATAGGGAAAGGAAGATGAAGAAAAGATCGCGGGCGGTATGTGACCCCTTTCATAGGGTACTGCTCCGGTATTCGCCTGGTGTTGACCGGACAAACCACAGAAAACGATATATCAGAGCAGCCGGCCGCTGGAATTCTTCTCCCGACAGCAACTGAATTCGTCCTAGCGGACAAGTTGGTGTCAAAAATCCTGCCACCGTCGGGGCTCGAACCTAGGATGTCCGATGAGAGTCCCTGCAGTGCCCTGAGCCCCCTCTCGCTGTCGTACTCGCCTTCCACGAGGCGAAGCGAAGACGGAGGGAGGGGAGGAAGTCGGCGGCCGCGCGCCCTCTGCGGCTGCGCGTGCGGCGCTTGCTCGCCGGCCCTGCCCTCGGCCAAATATTTGGCCGCCGCCGCCGCCGCCGGCACCACCGGCTGGCTTTGAAGCGTGGCGGTTGCTGCGCCCCGCCCGCCCACTTCCGTCGCGCGGGGTTTCATTTCGGCGGTGCGCAGCTAGGCGGAAACAAAAACGCCCGACCCGCACCAACAATTCCGGATAAATCTCGACAAGTACACACGTTTTTTTATGGTTACTGTAGTGGACTTACTGCACCGGACCCTCGAGAACGTAGCTACGCCTCTAGCCAGATTGCGCTATTACCCGCTGATTCACGCACACGTTATGATAAGACATGCTCAAAGAAAGGAGCAAAGTTTCGAGGAATATCCTCCGACGAGCGACTCCACACGAGAGGCGCCGCTCATTCCGAATGCGTCGAGCCGCAACGCCTCAACCCTCATGTCACTAGCGGCTGAGATGACGCAGCGATGCCCTAGTTACGCGCTCGGCCTAGCGCTTTGTCTGGCAGCCGGGCTCATAATTACCTCCCTGGGGATGCCAACACTTCTCAGGCTTCAAGACGAGAACTTCAGAACAAGGAAAACGTAATGGCGAGGGAAGCTGCGTTTGGAAGGGGGAGGAAGAGAATATCGTAGAACATTCTTGTAACTTGTCAAACTGTATTGAAGACACATACCCCTAAGTAAACGCATCCCTCTTTGTGATCGTGCCACCTGGTCAGTGAATACCGCTTTAAAATCTTTACACTTTCCGGATGCATTGGCGAAAACCACAACAAAAATCTTATTTACATAAACTCTGAAATTCACCAATAATTTGTTTCTATGGTGTTGTGTGCTTGCACAGAATTTTAAATATAGAAATGTATATTTATTTTCGGATTCAACTGGGCATCGTTAGTTGTAAGGTTTGTAAGATGACACATATTACCCCTTTTGAAACACACAGTATTAAACCCATTTTGTTTTGAAAATTAAATAATGGTGATTGATAATCTCCACTTTTTCATTTGGAATTCACACGATAAAACTTCTTTTTTTCCAAGATGTTTGTCAAAAAAATCATGAAACTAATCGTACGTTGAATGCTCTATGCCAGTTGCGTCACACTTTCGCTTTCCAGTAATGCAATTTCAGAGAATTGTTTATCAAGCGCGATATTATCTTAGATATTACTAGAAAATCGAAAGATACGAAGATATATTACTTTGAGAATCTTTGCAAAAAGCAACAAATCAATATTAACTATCTAGTTATAATCAAATTGTACATTAATTCTTGGAGATAATATTGATGAAATTCTTTATCTAGATTGTCAAGTATCCTGCAACAATAACGGCTGCACTCAGTACACCTGCAGACTACTTATGGGATAAAAATTCATATTATATTTGTTAAGCGTGCAGAAGATATTGTAAATATTCTCGACTTATTAAAGTATACAGTTTGTTATAAATGTTTTAATATACGTGATTACTGTAATTATATTCCATGACTACCATAAAAACACTCCGCTAAAGTAAAAAGCCTTTTAATTTAATTCGTTCTCGAAAACAATATGGTGACTGACTCCACTGCCGCAGTCTCCAATAATTGTAACGTTGTAAAAATGAATAAAATATGCAACAAGTCTTTATGGTGCTAATTACTTTATCCAAATCCCTCTCATTTCTGAAACGCCGTTCCCCGAAACAGTCATAGCGGAATTGAATGCTTCGGTGCTAACAAGGAGCAGGGGGCGGACATTTAAAAGAAAATGAGGTCGGGATACTTTCTCGCCGATGCCAAACCCAGAGCGCTTTTGTACAAGCATTTCGGCGCGCGCCATTTATACGCGCAGAGACCTGAATGGGCTCCCGATACCCAATTTCCATATCCCCATCGAATATCCGCACCGCAGGTAGCCTCGGCGCCCGAAGAGACGGCTTTTTCCCGGCGCGCGCTCGCGGACTGGCTTTAATTGCGTTCCGCCTGTTAGGGCGTGCGCTGGCTTTGTGCGCGCACTTTCATTCGAGGTGCGTTTCCCGAATAATGAAGCTCCCAAGTCCCATTCGCGCCGCCTCCAAACTTTCTGATCGCGTCGGAGGATAATGGAGGGCGAGATTCATTGGAAGGACGTACCATCTCCAGAGGATTTGCGTTTTGTTCGGAGTAACATGAACATGCGATATTGTGAACGGGAGACACCCACGGTGTGTTTATTGGATCAATTTCTGCCGCAATTACGGATCATCCACTCTCACAAAATTGTATGATTTAAAAGATTTTTTTTCATTGCAAAAATTCTTGCAGCACTTAACTTCGCAATATTTTATAGACTCGAATATCACGATTTACGTAGCATTGCCCGTTCCAAGACTTTCAAACCAGTAACGTACCCTGTGTGTGTGTGTGTGTGAGAGAGAGAGAGAGGGACTGTTCATTAAAAATCATTCGGTCCATCCACATCTGAATTGAATGCGTTATAAATATCTATAATTCAATAAATAAAAATACACTTAAACACAATATAAATGAAAAATTATTTAACAACAGAACGTAAAGTCGACTGAAGACTACTCCCAAAAACCCCCATAGAACAATCCCAGTATCGCCCCATTCAAACCAATGGCGTTTCTAAATTTGCGAATTAACTATCTCCCACGCACAGTTGTCACCCATTACGCATTACATTTATTTGCTTTGCGGTTACATATGCATTTAAATGCCACCTTCCAGCAAATTCTGACGTTGATCAACTCGAGAGTTCACGTCTCTACCACAAACATTTTAATACATGTTTGCATTACACATCGTTATAATTCATATTCGAGAACATACGCAAAAAGAGACAAAAAAATTAAAATAACTCTGTTAAACCTCACCAGAAAAAATTCTCATTTAAATGTACAATTTACTGTGCCACCACAGCGTCACTGAAGGCAAAACAACACAAGGCGCGAGTACGTACGAAAGCTTAGCTGTTATTAAATCATCGACCCGTAAGTTAGTACATTTAGTAGGAAAACCGCGTATTACGTACAGGAGCTTTTAAGATAACATATGTCATCCAGTTTGCTGTCTTGCGCGTAATGCCTAAAGCATAAGTTCCTGGAGACAATCATTAGAAGCCCTAACGACAAAACGAGCGAGCTTTTTGCGCTTGATTGCCCAACTTCCCGAAGCAGATCGGGAAAGAGAAAAGGGAGCTGGTGGAAGCGGCGACACTGATGACTGGAGCAGCATATGATTTGCTGTCACGTCCTCGTTGTCTGAGGCCATCGGTCGTGGGAGGCGAAACGACTAGTGGATTTCAAGGACGAGGGTAGATAGAGAGGCCGTGATTGCGGAGAATACGTGTTGGCAATCCAGGTGTGAAATGGAGGAGGATCAAGCCGGTTGCTGCGAAGGTGGGAGTAAGATGCCGCTGCGAACGACGCAGCGACCTGACACAGTCGTTCGCGCCGTCTTCACCGGCAGCGGGGGCGGGGGCGGTGTTGACGTGAACGGGGCGCCGCTCGGCGGCGGGCGTCCTGTCAGCGCGGCACAGCGTCCAATCGATGTCGTCGCAGCCGCCGCCTCCCAAACACGCGCGCGCGTGGCGTACATTACGTGGCCGCCGGCGCCGCGTAATTACACAAATGAGCAGCGGCCCCCGCCCGCGGCCAATAATGCGCCGCGCGCCGACCCGACGGCGCTGGCTCGGTCAAGGCAGCCCCGGCCGCACCCATAAAGGTCCGTTCACAGTGCGAACACGAACATACGCATAAAGTATAGACGTAAACATTAACAGAAGTGATAGACGGAAGTATTCACAATGCCTAACACAAACGTAAGCAAAATAAGACTTTCTATTCGCTGTCACAAGTTCTAGTTCACTCTTAGTTGGATGTGAGAATAGATTTCGTGGTATCGAATGTGTCCATGGGTCATGGTACGTGGCGTTAGTTCGTCTGTCGACTTCGATCCTATTTCGATACACGATTTTGAATTAACGTACTGTTCATTTCTTATGTCTTACTTAAGCAGAAGCACAGAAGCTTGAAGCTTTTAAGCTTTTAAGTTAACGTCTTACGTGTTATGCTTATGCGAACGCATTATGAATGAGTCCGCCTATGGACGTAGTCCGAACTTTTATGTTAACGCCGTGCTTATGTCTATGTTTGCATTGTGAACGGGCCTTAACGGCGGTGGTGGCTCAACAAGAGTCGGCGTCGCGCAATCTTAGACTTCCATGAATCTCGCAAGGCTGGCGGCCGTCCGAGTGACGCCGCGTCGAGGGCGCTGAAGCGACGTTTCGCCCATCAAATCGTGGTCTTCTTCAGGGCTGGAGTCAGCCGGGCAGCCGAGAGCCTTCACAATGTGTGTGGGAACAGGTTGCAGGGTGTTTCATCGGCAGGGCCTAGGGTTTGAGTCCGCGACGGTGAGATGATTTTCGACACTATCTACGAATACAACTCGTTTGCGTTGAGTCGCTGCCGGGAGGAGAATTCCAGCGGCTGGCAGCTCGGAATGTTAGCTCCCCGCGGTTTCTCCAATGAATGCCAAGAGGATAACGAAGCAGTAAGAAACGGGCTGCGGCCCGCATGCAATGCCGCCTTTCTCTTTCTTCGCGTATCGTCTCCCCTTGCACACTCGCATGCGCTACACTAGCACACATGTCGGGAATTTAGCGCTGTGTAGATACCTGGAGGGGGAAAGGCCCGGAAGCCGACAAGTAGGTCGGCGCCGGTTTTCACGTTCCAGCGGAGTAGGAATATCCCCAGCGTCACAAGATGTACACTCACAAGGCTAGTGACCAAAGTAGTTGTCTCGCCCAGAAACACCAAATTCACTCCCTCCAGTTTCCTTTCTCGTAAGTCCCACATCATCCATTCATTTGCACCACTTATTCTCTCTTCCACTTTAGGACCTTCCATCACTGCCGTTACTCTTCGTCGTAATAGGTATGTTTCCTTTTATAATGGCTTTTCATCTCCCTTCTCCATTCTGTCAAATCTCCTGACTGTCCTTGGCACGGCTCGGCGCTGTCTGCGCCGGCGGCACTTTCCCCAAAAATCCTCACTTTTAATAATATAATTCTTTTTGAAGAATGTAACCCATAAAATTATCTAGTGAATGAACTAAAACAGTTTAACTGTCACAAAAATATTCAATTTTATGAACTGAAATGAACAGACAAAATTTAATTACAATTTTTTTCTCAAATAAACTAGTCCCGACTTCGCAGTATCTTTACCATTCTACATAATTTACTAGATAATTCATTGGTAATTAATTTAAAAAAATTATCGAAATATATCAAGTTGTTGAAGAGTTATGATGTTTGTAGTAAAAAATTGCATTTTTCCAAATATTTTTAAACAAATTGAAATTTAAAAAAATATTTGATATCTAAAATCATGAACAAATCAAACGTACAAAGGAAAATATAATAGACCCAAAATTCTAGATTGTTTTTCTTGGGTAGACAGCTACTTTCACCATTCGTAATTACAAAATACGTAATGCCGTAGAGCAGTTGCGTGTTTGATTGTATTTCTTAATGTATCATAAACTATTTAGAAAAGTAATATAATTTTGAATTCTTCCTCGCAACACTGGAATCTCGGCGTGTGAAGTTTTCTTGAAAAGCTTAGGCGATATTTTAAAATTTCACTTAAAAACCATACCGAATTCCTTCGTTCATTGTTTACGAAGCAATATGTTTTGAAGGGTGTGTGACAGTCTCAAACTTCTTGGCGGTCTTTTCAACGCACTCCTTCTCGGTCTACGGTCAAATTCCATCCCGAATAGACGGAGATTTCAGACTTCTCATCTGCTTGCGCAGACCTTCTATTCGCAATAATCTGCCGTCAATTAAGAGTTTTGATGAAACTTAAAACTCAGATAATTCCTTTGTGCTTACTTCGTACTTAATCAATTAGCCGTACGTGAAATTGGTCAAAACTTACAGCAGAACAGAATTGTATTGATTTTGTATGGAACTATTAGTCTCTCCCATTTGTTCTCTCGCAATAAATTATGGTTATTTCAGCAATAATCTTAATAGCAAGGGGTATATGCGTGCCATCTGCTTCAAAGTAAACAATTTACTTATATCACTTAATGTTTGTAATAATTTTTCTTGATAAGTTTGCAAATCAATTTTTAGACAGTCTTTTTTCGAAATGCTCCTCATCACTGCTTAACGGATATTTTAGGGAATATTGTGAACAATAAACAAATAATGGTAATAAAATATTAACAAAGAACTGTTTTAGTAAGTCATCCAAAGGAATCCATCCACCCTCGTGTACTAATACATCATTTAACTAGATTAACTAGATGTTAATATTAACTGTCTTATCCATTTCAAATCTGACGTTTCTTCAGCTCTCAAGTACACCAGTTCACTCACTAAAATTATGGATCTTAATTGACTATTGAATACAGGAGATACATCTCAATAAACATTAAATTACTAATTAGTAATCGTATTTTGCACAATTTTGTTCTCGTATGATTTATTATATATAATTCATCTGTTCCCAATTATAACAAAAAGACAATCGATAAATAAAGTCACAGAGAACTGGTATGTGCGGTAATGAGAATTCGTTTGGATTAATAAAGCATTACAAAGGGAACAATCAAATTTGAATCGAAGCGAGCGAGAGCGAATATTTGAAAGCATTACTGAGATTATAAAAAAATATCACAGCTTAACACAAACCAAATTCATTGAATAAATTTAACTATGTAAACGTGCGGAATTTAAACGAATATCCTAAAAAAATATTTCGTTCATTAAAAGACATTCGCAACCCCGCAGCGATGTTTCTGAAAAAAAGAGAAGCGCTCGTAGGAAATTTAGCTTTTAAATTTTTATAAACCTTCGCGCCCGCGGCCCATTTCTGAAGGAAACGAGACGTCAAGTTCAAAGGGGCGTTGCGGAAAGAGCTTCACTAACTTCATTGGGCGACTGCCGCAAACGAATTGAGGCCCGCCTCATTCGGCCTTCGCCGTCCCGCCGCCGAGCGCGACCTCGTCCACCGCGCGCGCCCTCCGGGAGCCGAGGCCGACATCGCGACAACTATTAAGTGATGTGTGTTTCATAATAAACATTATTAGAACACGAGGTTCTGTAATCTATGATCCACTATATAATCTGTTTCGTAATAAATGTTATTAGAGACTCAAACGCATTCTAATTAATAAAATGAGTTCCATTAACCACTATGAATATTAGTCTGTCACATTTTGCAGGATCGATAGTCTAACGGAAATTCTAATAGAATTTTTCTTTTTACTAAGTCGACAAAAGTTGTACTGTGATATTTGTATCGTAACATTTTAATAGAACACTTGATTGGTTATCAAACATCGTCTAACTCCCTCGTTTTTTCATTCTTTAATCTTATATTATAATAAAATCATAAGATAGATATTTCGAATAAAACTATTATTTTTAGGGGATCATCAACTACCAAAATCATTCAGGCCCATGAGCGTTGTAATGAATAGGCGACTGTGATAAAGATGATAGATGGAATTATGGGAAAGGCAAGCGGGAGAACCCCGAGGGATTGCTTTCTCCTGCACCAAATACACTTGGATTGCCCGGGTCGGGGATCGAACTCGGGCCCCTGCGGCGGAAGTCGTATGCGTAAGCCATTACACCACAAGCTCTAACCCAATTTCGGAAACATTTGCGTCACTACGCGCATAATTCATGCGCGTTTCTGACAATTACATGTTGCAATGTACTTCGTCAGGGTTTCCCTAAGTGCGACCCGTGGCTTCGACGCGCGCCTCTGGTCTCAGCTTCAAGAAGCGTATTGGTAGAAAACAGCAAAACATTTCTAATTAGATTCTAACTATTGTAACTTGATTAATCTGGCATTATACTCGTTTGGTAATTGATTTTATTGAAAATGAAATTGTATTACTTGTGAAACACTGTTTCTAAAGGTTAACACATAATTATTTCCTACAAGAAAATAACTTAAAATGATTTATTAGTGTAGCATTTATTTTAACCATAGTACATTACAACGAAAGGATTTTTGTGTCTAAGAGTATTCTGTGAATCCGTATTATCTAAACATTTTTTCTGACCAATGTTTATGAAACACCGTTTATTAGAAAGTGCTGTGGTATTGATGAAGAAGAGGACTCATTATCGTTTTCATTATGTACACTGCTTTTGCGATCGTGTCACAATCAAAATTATTATGCGCTTTCATTCAATAATTTCGAAAACTTAACGAGATAATTGTTTCTTATCTATTTACGTAAAAATCCATTATTTATTAGAGAAAAAACGTCTCAACAATAAAGAATTAGGAGTCTATCCTTTTAGACGTAAGAAGTAATAGAATGAATTTCGAATTCTCGTTCCATGCAGCAACAATCTAGTAAACCATAAAGTTTTATATGCACCACGGGCGTTAATATACGTTTTTGCCCCTCAGGCGACTTCCAAACCCTCGAATGAGAGGCCCTAGGGTATTTGCAAGTTGCCCTTTGGGAAGAAAATATACTTGACGCCCTAAAACTATTTTGAACTGAAATCTAACAGATGCAAAAAGCTAGCTGTTAGATGATATTAAAACAGTTTAATTACAGGTTTTACATCCATATCAAAAATTTTTCAAATTTCTTCGTCACTCCTTTACATCCTTGAAATTACCTTCGCATATTACTTCCAATAGAATTTTTGAATTAGGAAAATGTAAGTTTTGTTTTCTTACTTCAAGTAAGTGTCAATTACGTCGAACGTACCTTCAAAACCGCTACGCTCAATAGGTGTCAATTGTCGAACGAAGAAAATTATGTGATACGCTTCCCAAAACATCTTCCAGAACCCCAAGCAACAGAACGCACCGCGCACAGTGAGCTATTGCGACTATCGCCCGGTGAACAGGAAATTGTCGACAGGTAGCGGCACAGTCACTCGTATCAGCAAAGCGCCGGTGCGTTGGCCGCAAGCGCTACTCCCGCCGGAACGCGTTTCCGGACAGAGTTCGGGACGGCGAAGACTTATCGCCCAAATATGTTCCGCTTAACAGCTAATGTTTCTAAGACCCACTTGTACTGCTGTTTCTATAGGATCATGCAATGTATTTTAAATTATAAAGGCATGAATATGAAATGTATATGTATGTACATGTACAAGAAATTCCAAACTCTCTGAGTTGTCCAAGAAATTGACGAAAGTTTCATTAGCAAAACTCATTTTGTAATTTCACTGACAACGGAAGATAAATCCGATATTAATAAAAATTGTTTATTATTCACTGCATTTGCTGGCGAGAATATTCAAGCATGTTAAGATTCTGAATGAGGATGAGCAGAATTTAAATTCATCTTCTGTAACACATTGTAGCGGAATATGGCGATCCAACGCACTACCAATAAACTGTGAACTGCCGAACCTTTGGAATCTGTGAACACTGATCACTTGTTGAAATAAAATAAGTACTCTTTTAATTTCATTATTTTAGAAGAAAAAGGAAAAACACAGCACGTCACATCTTTTGTCAAATTTTTCGAGAAGTACATGTTTGAAAGCACAACTTATAATTACTTTTTTCTTCACTAGTCAGAAGAACGGAGCACGTTTCCCGACACTCAAAATTGAAAAGTATTCGCAACAACGAGTAACTTCTGAAGGACGCAACGATTTTACCTGCAAAGTGCGAGACACTCGCGAGGACTTCAAGCACCATGGTGAATTCGCTAAGTGCGCGAAGCGGCAATCACACGCGAGAAGGCACCATGTCGACGTCGTAGACCCAAGGCCGTGCAGTCCCGCGACGGGCAGCGGCGTCGACGCCGACGTTGGTGGCGGCGGAGGCGGCGGCGGCGGCGGGCGGAGGCGAGCGGGGGCGCGCGACGCACCGGGGTCGGCGGCGCGGTTCACGAGGCGACTGCGGGCGGCGGCGACGGAGCTGCGCGAAGCGAAGCCGGCAGGCGGGACGGCGCGGGCGCGCCCCGGGGCGCCGGCGCGGGACGGCGCGGCGGCGGCGGCGGACGCAGGCGCGGCCGAGGGCAGGTGAGAGAGGGCGGCGGATTCACGGCGCTGTGCCTACCGACGGCCGGCCCGCCCCGCCCTTCCTCACTGCCCTCGCCCTGCGGCCCTCTATTGTCGCCGCCCCCTCGTCGCTCCCGCTGTCTCCGCCCCGCCGGCGTCTTCGCGGGGCTCCTGCCATCGCTGTCTGCGCTGTCCTCGTCACCGATCACGCGCCGACCTTCGTCACTGTCGTCTCCGCTTTTAGTCCCCCTCTCCCTTCCCTCGCCGTCGCTTTCGCTCCTCCCCCCTCCGTTTCCGCTCTCCGTAATTGGCTGCTCCGCCTTCTTCAGGTGGGCTCTGCTTCGCGCCAGTCTGCTACCTCCTGGCTACGGCTCCCACTCCACGGTGCGGCCGTGGCGGCGGGGGCGGGAGCTGTTCTGAATATGGATCAGGCGAATTTCGGCAGTCGGGGAGTGAAAAAGAAAGACAGAAAGAAAGAAAGAAAGCAAAAAAACACAATTACAATTGAAGACTGATATAGCTTTTATTAACTTGCCGCTCAACTGCGGACATACCTCGGCACGCAAGGAATAACACTTTTGGATAGTACTGAGAGGAGCGCTATCCTGCAATATAGCGTAAGGAAAGCACGGATATAATCGATGGCTTTAATGGCTTTAATATTCATAATTAATCATTTCGTGGATTGACTCAGTTGAGGTTTCGGGAATGTTAGTGCAATAAGCTGTTTGCAATAATTACAGAAGATCCTGTATATTGTAGAATATATCTGAAATTTGTTGGAAAGGATGTGTTTGATATTAAATGTCGCCGGTTTGTATAGAAATACTAGATTTTTCTCTCCAGAAACACTCAAGCTAGTAAATTCTCCTCCTGAATCATTTTATTCCAAAAATGTGATGCCACGATTACATTTAAAATGATTTTTCTGCCTAGAATGCAAAAATAGTGAAATTTTATGTGAATGCTGATAGTACAAATTACTTGTCACGGGCCTGTGAATATTTTTGAAATTCTGAGTAGAGATTTCACGCATTGTCTTCTTCATGAATTGAATGATTCGATGTTGACGTTGATTGGTTCTTTCCTGCAATAATTATTAATTATTCAATTGTCCAACGATCAATGTCCATCTTCATTTGCATCATAATTACATTTCGAGTCGAATAAAACGGAATTTTAATTATATTATATTATTTTGCACAATCGTTTGTTTGTTAGATACCATTTGCTTCCCTTAAAAAAGTACGTAAAGAAAAATATTAAATCGTGACATAATAATAATGTATAATATATTCATTTAGTAATGTATTTCTTTAGGAAAATTTGATGTGCACAAACGTAGTCATAGATGTACAATAAAACAAAATATTTTCAAAATTTAAAATTATGTACAGGAAAGTTAGATTTTCTTTAGTAAGGTTCCAAAGTCTTTGCTTTTCCTCATTTTAAAAGGTTGTTCGATAAATCAATGTCTTTACATATGCACTGTTAGCCCATGACCTTTATGCTACGCCAAACATCCTTATCGCATGTCTGCACATATGCCAGACAATGTTCGTGCTGGCGTACAAGTGGTCTGTAATTATAATGTCTGCAATTTGACATAACATTCCAGTGCGTTTTTGGAATGAATCTAGATCAAAATACTCCACAAACACTTGAGATGGTGATCTATTTTGAAAAATAGCCCATTCATTTCGTGGTTTTTGTGGATAAGACCAATTACTCACGTTGTACTCGTAAGGAATAAGGAGAAATCGATGCAACAATAACTATGGAATATATCATTTTATTAAAATATATACATTCAATAGCAATATGTTTCAAAATAGAATATGGTTGTTGTAAAGTTCCATCTGATACACATTTTTCGTTTTCATTGGAATGTTACAGTTACACGTAGGTCTGGAATTCAAGATTCAATATCAAAATATTTTGAAAGATAAGCCAGCAGACAACGTTAAGAAAGCCAACTTCGGTCGTGCAGGGAAGTCGCCTTATTACACATCTAGAAAAAGAAATTAATGTATCATGTTGAAATACACCTTTGATGGTTTGGTGATTTTATTTTCTGTGACACAATATTGCAGTTGAATTATATTCAAAAAATTGACCAAATACGAATTCTTCGAAAAATTAACATTTATAAAACTGTTACGTTAACATCTGCTTCAATAGTGAGAACGAAACCAAAGCCGAAATAATCGTAACATTTTCAATATACAACTACAAAAACAACAATGAAATTGCTTCGGCAACTAGATAAAGTTGGTTTTTTTCAAGAGCAGGTGTTTTCGTAGTATTTATTTTAAAACTATCCAGACATTTGTCCTGGACAGGAAAGGAATCGTAAAAGAATTTCGGGCACGAAAATAATCGGTGTTTTAATTCCTCTGTACTTTTTCAAAATAAGTTAACATTTCGACAAAATAAAAGAACTCCTGTCTCAAACTGAGCTCTCGAAACAGAATTTCAATTCAGTGCGAGCGATTGTCACAAGAAGAACGACAGGGTTAAAAGGATAAGAAGAAGTACGAGAAGCAGAATGAAATTATGAAGCGTAAAAAATTAATAATGAAATGAAGAAGAATAAGACGGAAATGAATAATAAGTAAGAAAATTAATTTCAAGAAGAAGATTGGAAATGAATAAAATCAGGACGAGAAGAAAGGACGAGCGTCTACGTTCGCCCTGTGTAAAAGCCCATTCTCAATGCAAACATAAACTTAAGAATGGCGTTAACATAGAAGTTTGGACTACGTCCATAAGCGGACTCATTCACAATACGTTCGCATAAATATAACACGTAAGATGTTAACTTAGAAGCTTGCAAGCTTCTGTGCTTTTTCTCAAGTAAGACATAAGAAATGAACCAATCACAGTACGTTAAGTCAAAATCGAGTATCGAAATAGGATCGAAATCGACAGACAAACTAACGCCATGTACCATGAGCCAGTCGGTACAACGAAATCGATTCTCACATCTAACCAATATTAAAATAGAATTTGTGACAGTCAATAGAAAGTCTTATTTTGCTTACGTTTAAGTTAGACATTGTGGATACTTCAGTCTGTCACGTTAATGTTTTACGCCTATGCGTTATGCTTGTATTTGCGTTTGCGTTGTGAATGGGCCTCTCCTGTGCAAGGCGTTTGCGGGCGGCGTGTGCCTGCCGACGGGACGCGACGTGACGTGACGTGATGTGTCGTGTCGTGTCGTGTCCGCGGTGGCGCCCGCATGCCTCAACTCCTTCCCTGCGCCAGAGACGGCCAGAGCGGCGCCCGATAATCGTGGCGACGAGCGCAGCCGTTAATTAATCACGCCCCCTCCCTTCTCGCCACTTCTTCCCTCCTCCCCCGCGCGCCGCCCCCAGGTGGAGAGGAGAGGAGGTGGCGCATGCCGCGAAAGGCGGGCGGTCCGGGGGGGGGGCGGTGGAGTTTGGGGGCGCAGGTGGAGATTGATGACGGGGGCGGAAAAACGACGGGTTCGCTCGCCCTGCAAGGGCGTCGCCGCCCACGACGACGTCGGCGATGCAGCCCCTCGACCCCCGAGGCGGCGGCGGCGGCGGCGGCGGCCGATTGGAAATGGGATTTCGGGAGAGTGCCTGAGTGGGCCCTGTCGCGTGTGGCGGTTGGCTTTAAGTCAACGTCTCATCCACAGGCCTTTAATTCGGAAAGTACAACTCTTTGGCCGGTTGACGTTTAACGAATGCCTAGGAACAGGCCAGTATTCCCGCGTTACTACTGTATTGATATTTTAGTGCGAGAATTTTAGCACAAACGAATCAGGAAGTACATTCCAGATGGTGAAGACTTATTATATATATACCTTATATTTTTGTACACCTTTTTTCCTAAACAATTTCCACTTTTGAACTATAAAAATAAAGCAATACTCCTACCTGACATTGCTCCGAATAATGGACGGTGCCGAAGAATAGTGCCGAAGAATAGTTTCATTTAGTAAGTTTTTATGCAATGACATTCACAAATGCCAAGAACAACCTGAAAACTAAGGTAGCTAGTATCATATAAATATTATGTAACTACTTGGTAGCTAGTATCATGATACAAAAATGGTTTAGACAGAGTATTTCACTAACTATGAGCCCCCCCCCATTACCTTTACCCTTGTCTCACGATATCGAAATGCAGTTTTTGCTCAACAATGCGGAATCATGGGGCAAGTAATATGCTGTATTTCGGAAAACCACACCACACTGATCTCTCCTGCTGATGTTATTAACTCACCCGCAGATGTTCTTCAAGAGCGTCTTTTACTGAGCTTCTGGCGGTATATTTTCTAGCTAATCTATTAAGCGAATCTACTAAGCGAATTTCATAAATAAACCACGGTCGATTTTTCTCTCGCGTTCATACATTGGTGTCTCCCTTCATCATAACCTGACCCATATTCTTCCTCCTTACTGGCGGAATCGTTGCCGCGATGTCGACGCATGTCTCGCCTTACTGGTCCAAGTAGGTCGGTCGAGTTTGTTGTCTTCTCCGTCGCGCTTTGGTGAAACAAACGATTAGTATGGATCATATCTCGATCCTCTGCAGTGTCTGTGCCCTTCCGAAAGTTGATTGATTTCCCGGTGGATCCACCCTTAGTTATTGCCCGAGTCTCTTTCGTCGCAGCCAATCACAGAGAGCCGCTCGTCCCCTTGGATTCGCAATTGGGAAGTGCGGGCACCGCTGCCCTTCTCAGAAGCATTAAACCAGCAATTCAGTTGCATCCCCACGCTGCGTCTCCCGTGGGCACGCCTCTTCAACCCCGATCCTGTGAAAATCGTCTCTGTACTCTAATTAGTTGAAGCGAAGAGCCACCACGCCTCCACTGTCCGTTACCTGCACCTCTTACAGTTTCTGCTAATAAAACCTGTACTTGCATTTCCTTACAAATAAACATTATGTTTTGTTTATCACAATGTATAGAGTGAGTCTGGGTATAGAATTTTCGCTTGCCAAAACCTTATGCGCGCGAACATTCCTTCTGAAGAGGATAATAGAGAGTTGTAACGTACTACTATTTTGAATTCCGATTGCATACTCATTCATGCAAAAACTGTTTTTACAGGCCTGCTTGATCAAAAGGTATAATATTAATGTTGCAAAGGAGTATTAAGAATAAATCATACGTTCATAATTTTGAGTATCGATTGTGCACAATAT